CAAAAATCTTTTTTGATATTTAAAATGCTTGTTTTTATATGTCTTCCTCCTTGCATTTGCAATTTTTGAAAAAGGCGTTATTTTCACGGGTTCCGATTCATGTTTCGCTGTCGCAGTGGTGATCGTGAAAACAAGCTCAATGCACAAAAAGGTGCTCTGGTTCCCGCCGCGCCCATGCAAAGAATGTGTGATGGAAATGTAGGAACCAGATCCAGTCTGCACCAAACACGTCATGTACATGTTACTGTGCAAGTCCACTCTACATCGGCCGTACACGTCACAGATGCAACCCCAAAGGCTGCGGGTCGAAAAGATACCGATGTTGGAAGAGGTTTTCTGCAATTCACAGAACTTGGTCTCTTATTTATGTATGTATTTTCTGCGTTCATGAGTTTAATTTGAGGTTGTTCTGCTCGTGGCACAAGGTTTATCGCCCGCTGGTCCAGATGCATCACGCACGCTTACCACGCGATACACGCGGACATTGTTGGCCAGTTTTCCGTCGCGGTCGCCTGAGTAGCATGCACTGTGTGAATCGTGTGTGATTTTCTTGTGAATTGCGGAATGTAGAAATGTTTACATGGATTAAGACAGGTGTTAATCATTTTTTGAGATAATTTTGGAAGATGTCTCCCCGTTGATGCCATTCAATCAGCACACAGATTGTTCCCTAAACAAAACAAAAAAATCCGACCTAGGCCTACCGACCCTACTTTTGAGACGCATAGCACAACTGTTTTGGGGCCTAATAAAGGCTGCCTGTATTGAAGTAGGCCTATTATAGAGTCCTATGTAAAGGAAACTAGCGACATACTGGAATGGAGAGTGAGACAGTTATTCAGAGTCGAAGGATTCTCTCCCTTCTAATAGATCAACATTTTAATCATAACATAAACAATCTACAAATTATACGAATTATCAGCCAAGTTGTGCGGTAAACTGAACAGCAATACATTAGTCGGTAATTTTCAATCATACGCCAACGACAGACGTACTCCAAGGTCTTTAATCTTCCAATTCAACCATAATTCAGTATTCTTTAAAACAGTGGCATATTGGTAACATGAAAAAAATCAATAAGGAATTATTTCTTTCACTTGAGTAC